TTTTTTTTTGTGCAAATGAGGTAGTTTTTGTTTGGACTGATACCGGGGCAAAAGTGCAGCAATTTTTTCTAAATGCCCGCTCTCTCTACCGGTGACTGGTTGAACTCATTTATGAAAATTTTTTGTTTGAGAACATTAAAGATGTTTGTTATTTTTCGGGTGAGTTATTTGCGAAACATCTCTTGTAAAGTCACATGCTTTTTTAAAATCCAAATATATATTGACAGTAGTTTTGGAATTAATTCAGAATTGTAGATTTGGACGAGTGAATTTCCTTCTTTCCTGCTCTTGTCTAAAATGCGAGGGTTTTTCAGATATTTAAAATCAGAAATAATTTAGCAGTCATTGGTTTTGCCTTCTGTTTGTGCGGTTCAATAAGTTTACTTCGTTTCCAAGATGTTACGATTTTTGGTTTCAAATTTGCACTTATGAAAAGTGCTCTCCAGCAAAAACAAGCGAAATTCACGAGAATACAATATTCAGATAAAGGTCACAAAAAGCACGTTAACGATCCGTTTTTTTTTTTTGTTTTGTTTTGAAATAAACTGTGTTGTTAAGTCACAGTAATGTCAGAGGTGTGATATTAGTGTGACACTTGGTTTTCCTTATAATTCATAAAACGGCATTGAGCTTGTGTACAGAAATTTATCATTTTCTGTAGACTTGAGAATTATGAAGAAAACGTTTTAAAGATGCATTTTTCTTCGTTTTTTCGCGGATTGTATATTGTAAATTTTAATTTTTTTCGCAAGAGCGTGCGTCAACCACTGATTTAGTTTCTTGAAACTGTAGGTCATAGCCTCCTGGAACAATGTAGAGTAACTAATTTTTTTATGGTAAGTAAAAGTGCAAACTTCAAAAGTATATCTGGTTACATAGATTCAAAAAGTATTTAAATTTTTTGAAGTATAATTTGGCTGAAATTAATTATATTGTATTGTTACCATCTGATTTTGAGATTTTGAAGTTGAGCGGACATGAAAAATCACGAAAGGAGTAAGCCTTTAGTTTTATAAGTAATTGTTTTGGCACGCTTACCACTCCAATTTAAAGTGGCTTAAAGGAGGCAGATTGAAAATTAAAAGTTCGCTTTTTCTTTGTTATTTGCTTCTTAGAGTCACAGGCATTTACTTTTTTATATATACCGTTCTGCAACGTTTTTTGAAATCATTTAAGCGTATTTTAACTACATTGGTGCTCATGAGTTGGTTTAGGCTTGTGTTTTTTGAGCTAGGTAAGTCTTTTTATGTGGAAATTTGCTAATTCAATTTATTTTTAAGGAGGTGACTGGTTATCTTTGTTCTAGAAACCGTAATTACGTAGAAGAAAATTTTTTCACTTAGTTTGAAATCTAAATTTGTTTTTGAAGAGCCATCGTTTTCTGATCAGTGTTCTCTGATTTTTATCTTGTAGACTCGGTTTTGAAAGGTACGTTAAATCAAAGTATTCATAATTAAGGTAGTAACAAATAATGTCGACAACTTAGTTGGATGTCAATTCCTTGATGTCTCTAAAGACGGGAAAACGCTTTTCGGCTGTTGGGCTACAAATAACGGAGCGTATCTTGGGAACGAAAGACTTGCATCACGTTTCATAGCTCTTGATGTCTCCTGTGATACAGATGTAGTGAGGTAGTTTTTTGTAATTTTCAACTGGTTTTTTTTGTCATTTTGTTTTAGTATTGGATAGGTCATTTCACTTGAGTATTTGGAGTTAACATTTTTGCAAGGTTTGTGTGACGAAAAAATTAAAATTGGGTTTTTGTCAGTTAAATTTTGAAATTTTGGATCTAGTAATTTGTGCGTCGTTTTCTCAAGTTATTTAATTTTTTTTGGCTAAAAAATGTTTTTTTAGGCGTATTGGTCTAGCAAAGGATGGGTGTAAAATTTGCTGCAACGAAGAGGAAGGGAACACCTATGGTTTGCGGTTCAGAGCTACTCCCAACATCATTCATGCGCTAGGTCCTACATTCGTGGATATGGTCATTGCTCCTTATGATAGCGACGTGACGTGCATTCTTTACGTTACCGCCAGTTCACGTTACACTCGCGGGAAAATAGCAACTTATTGTAGCGCCGTAGTTGAACCAATCCCAGAATTATGCAAAGCAGAAGTATGTTTGATAAAAACATTCAAACTTACTAAATTGTGACAAAATTTTTATTTTTCGAAGAAGTTTGTTTTGGAACGTATGTAATGTTGATCATTTCAAAGCATTTGCCGCATTTTAAGCCTTATATTGGTTAAGGGTTTGAAGTATTTAAATTCTCCCGTTTACAATATGAAATGGACTTCTCAGGACGAAATTTGGTCGTGTGCGTGGAATTCAGAAAAAATGCGCCTTGGACTTGGTAGGTTATTACATTGTCTAAAATACTTTCTTTTCTTCTTCAAGCTTTGTTCACGGTTGATTGTATTTTTAGGAATGGAAGAAAGCACTATGATTATTGATGTTCTTTCTGAAAAGAACTTTCGAATTTCAAGCCGGAAAAAGAATGTCCTTAGCCAGCACTTCACTCAGGTATTATAGTTGCGCTGTCTATTTTTGTCGAGATTCGTAGGTCTCTATTCCTAGTCGGCAGTTCCTTATCTTTCTGGTGTCTCATTATACGAACGCTCACGTTGTGTTTACAGGATGGCGAGATTCTTTTTATGGGGCTTAGAGGAGAAGATATGGTTTGTTCGGATTTACGTCTGAAGAGTCACCACATCGTTAATACCTTTGAGGGGTCAAACTCAGTAGGATGGATTAAACTCTTACAAAGTCATCCATATTCCTTGCTGACAGATAATTTTGCGGGCGAGGTAGGTTTACTGTGTTTTTTGTTCGACGTCGAGTTTTTGTGTTTTCATTTTTATTTTTAAAATTACTAAATGTTTTTTATTCACTCACAGTCTATTATTTTATAGTTGAACTTGTGGGATGTAAGGATGGGTCGAAAACTGATGACTTTTAGAGGACACAAAAACAGTCATTACAGGCTTCCATGCTTTGTTGATGATGATGAACGTTTTGTTTTTGCGGGTAAGATTCTTCTGTTGTTGTCAGTAAGTCTTTTAGATGTTGAGGCTACATTTTACTGTTGGCAATCGGAACAGCTTCTATATCGGATATATATTCGGGAAATACTTATTTTAGTTGGGGAAGACGGTGTTGCAAGAGGTTGGTCGATGCGTACTGGCGCACTTTTGTGTGCCTTACCAAGTCCCCGTCCAGTCGAACAGAAATCTGAATATACCCGCATTGTTTATTCTGATCGTTGGGGAGGTCGGGCAGGTAATAGTGCTGTTGTACTGGCAGTTACTGGAGATATACGAGTACACGAACTTAAATTTTAGGCTTTCAGGCTTTTACTTGTAAAGTAAATTAATAACGAGTGTACTTTTTCTGAGGTTTTGAAAGTAGTCGAAAAGTAATAACGTTTGATTTCATATAACTGTGTAATTAAACTGGTGCCATTTCTTTTAAAATCGAACGAATTTCCCGGGTAGACTGTGTCATCTCTACTTTGCTTTATGATTTCGCTGTTTTTTGTCTAGTTAGATCTGAGTGGTCTTGCCCAGTTTCGCAATATGATTATTTGTGGAGTAATGTAAATATTAACCTTTTACTTAACATCAAGGTGATGCTGTAGTTATGTTGAGTTAGCTAACTGCTTACTCATTCTTTGTTGGATTTTGATTTTGAAGTTTTAAGATATTTCGAACTTGTTGAAGTTTATGGAGCTTGTCATTTGTGACTTTGTTCTTTTTTCTTACGATAATTTTTTACCCACTGTGATGCCTTTTACAACTGCTTTGGTGTTTTTTCATTTCAAAAGCCTAAAATTTAAGTCTTAGCAGCTTTAGGTGTTTTCACTTGAGTCTTTAGGATTGTTCGTTTGAAAGATCAAGCACTTGTCAACTTTGTTTAACTTCAATAAAACTCTGTCTTTGCAGGTGGAATTTCAACTGTTACAGGCATTGAAGGTTTTAGGTGTTTGTTTGGGTAAATCCTGAAGATAGGTATGCCAAGAAGTGATAGGGTATGTTTACTGCTTATTGTGGCAGTTTTCAATATAATGAATAGGAGTTTTGTATGGGGTGGCCATGGTCATTCATGGAGTTTGTGTTGCTGTATCAGAGGTATCTCTTCTGCGGAATTATTTTTTCGAAAATGCGATTTGAGATTTGTTGGTAGTAACCGATCACGATGAGTGTTTTCAGATTTTTGATGCTGAATTCGTTTAGAAAGGCTTTAGTGTGTTGACTTGATTTAGGACATTTCACGCATTGAATTTGCGGATATTATGAGGCCAACACGAAAAAATGTTTAATTGATAATTTGGGTTAATGAAGCAGGTTTTTTTGTGGAGGGGGTGGGAGAGTGGCCCCGTTATCTATCTGCTTTATTTTTACTTCTTCCTTTTTTTGCTTGGTGTTCAAGAGGTTTGAAACTTTTGCGTAGTGATGTTGCAAAGTATGACAAGGCATGAAGGAAGCGGGACTAAACAGTTTGAACAAAACCAAACGAATGAGAGGATGACGCGGCTCTCCAGTGCGTTCAAGAATTTCTTAGTGCCAGAAAGTGAACACATTTTTTTTTGGCTGTCCAGGAACTAAGTTTTACACTTTTGAAAGGAATAAACTTTCTGTTTTTTGTTGGGATGTGGAAATTTGCTTGATTGTAGCTGCCTTGAAACAGCTTACCAAATTTAGCCAAGCTCCTAATCTTACTTCGTCAAATATCGAGGGTTCGTTTGTCTTGGTTGACCCACATTTTTGAAGTTAAAAAATTCTAGACCTGCTTCAAAATGATCTTTTTAGTTTCTTAAAGCATTCAGCAGATTGGCTAGATATAATACAGCTATATTCTACCTATTTCCAAGGTTATCTAGTACAACAAAGTAGGCTCCTACTTTTAAAAAAACTTCAAATTTGCTAACGTTTGCGGAGAGAATTTTTTAAATTTTGGCAAGGTATAAACTAAATTTTGATTTGTCATCGAAAATAAAGTCCAAATCTTTCATAAACGGGGCTTTAGGTGATTAGTGACTAAAAACGTCATAAACGTAGTTAGATTCTCAAAGTGAAGAGTGACAAACTTATTCCTCGCCGTTTATACCGTTACCATTGATAAGAAAGAAAATTTAGAGCTTACTGCAGCTGACTCCAATTGTGATTATGCATTTAGGTCTCAATAAAACAAAGATTTTAAAGGTAACAGTTGGAAGATTACATGGAAGACTATTGATATACAGCAAAAATAAAAGAGGAAGACTTGCACCCGTAGCGTTCCTGAAAACAATTGCATCTCTCCACTTATGGCACAGAATTTTGAAACCAAGTTCAGAATCAATTTACTTGTAGAATTTCCTAAACACTAAAGTACTTTATCGTCTTTAGAGGTACACAATAAGGAAAACCTCTTTTTTTTTTTTTGTAATTCATTTGCAAAACATTATATGTAAATTAGATAAAGAGTTTGTAGGAGTAATCAGAATGGTGTTAGAATGAGTACACGCTTTTTTTTACACGCTTTTACACGCTTACACGCTGTTACACGCTTTTTGAGATCTGCTCTCCTTGGAAGCAGATAATAGGCCGTCTCTTATGGACTTTTTCCTTTCGCGTATGCTCGCGAGAGTCAGAAAGAGAATGGCTGAAAAACTAAGTAAAAAGTAAAGAAACTCATCTTTTGGAAAATTATATACTCAGACAACTATCTAATACCATCAGAACATTCAAATTTTTGGCTCTAGATTAATGACATCAACTTTAATAGAGTTCTTGAGCTTCTAGACAGAAAATTGGTGGGCAATCCCCACCTACAGTAGTTAACAGTATCATCGAGATCTTTATTCAATTGAACCTTCACCTGCACTTATTTGATGCCACATAAATTAAGCTAAATGGTTTTGAAACATGTTTTTTGCAGTCTCTCGCTACTTTTTATTTCAATTAATGAAGATATAAATCCTCCGGTTTTTTTTGAGAAAACGACTTGCTAGATTCAACTCGTCGCTAAAAAACTCTCTTCATACTTTAAAATTCATCTCTACCTGCCTCCGTTATTGCACCCCTCTTTAAACCTCTTCTGTCAAAAATTTGAAGAATTTCTTTTCCAGTGAACAATTATGTCTATTTCAATCAAAATTTTAAATTTAATTTCAAGTCCTGAGCGCTTTTTTCGAAACGAATAACAATATATCTATTAGATGGAAGTTGTTTAGGCAGTGCTATTGAGTCGAGTCGTTCCACTTTTAGAAAAGACCTATTGTTACTATTCTTGCCAAAAAACTAGCAAAAAATCAGCTACTCAAGTAGATGAGAGTGATATCTTCAAGCTATTCTCAGCTAAAGCTACGTTTACGACTTTTGTATCTCATTTACGATGAAAAACAGTAAAACGCCTCAATTTTTACCCCTCAGCAACCTAAACTGTTTCAAAGAAAATCACTATTTAAGCAACTACAATGCACCAAAACTTTCAGCTCAAAGCATTTCTTTTTTTGACAGTTACGAGCAGTATCTAAAGCAACAGTCCCAACCTAAAAAAAGTGCTTTTTGCTGTTTCGTGCTTCCACCCTCTTCCAAAATTATAATCTTCTTACTTCTTTTATTCAGCATCCTCCACTTTCTTAAAATTTTTACAATTTGATGTCGACACCACTTTTACAAGAACATGATTTAGAAAAATGAAACTTTTCCGATTTGTTTTAAATCGCTCAGTGTGAAATAAATAAAAAGCCTAATAGCGCCAAAAGAAAGGAGGTCAAAGTAAGGAAAAGACAACCAAAGTAATAGCAAAAAATTGAATTCCGATACGCAGTTACATTTCTTTCAACGCTCCCATAAACTTTATCGCCCATTGCTTTTCACAGTAAATACGTCCAATTGAGAGTCGAAAGGTTACTTATCAGACAGAGAGCAGAAATGCATATTTTTCAAGAGACATATCAAAGTAACAGTTAAATAGTTTATTTCAAAGGATATTGGTCGCGATTAACAATGACACTGCGACGTC